ACATACTACAACAGTTTTTTTTACAATGATAAATGATACTGTGCTTTCACATAAAAACAAATCTGTGGTTAAGGTGGGAGTGAGGGTTAACTGATACTTTTTCATCCTTTCGATTGACAGTGTTTATTCTCTTAGTCTTGATACCTAGAGAACGTGTCTACTCTGAAATGACAACTCCACGAAAACCTCAATTATTCCTTATTTTAAATGAACTGAATGAACAAATCCACAAGCTCAAGGCTTAATTCTGAGTACTCAAAAACAAAAACAAAAACAACTTGAAGTAACCTATTTACCTTTAATATGTGAGAAAGTTCACCGTAGTGTGCAAACACTATAAGGTAAAGAACACTGGTATATAGAGAAGAAAAGTCGATCTCTGATGCTCAATAGGCATTAGCAGATTTTAGGAGTTAGTGGGCAGGCCTTGCTAATCCTACCCCCCAGCATCCTCCCTTTAACTTCAGCACGGGGCTTTCCAGTCTTTTTCCATTGGAGATAAGTAAATTAGAATTATCTGGAGTCTGTTGAGAATAATGGCAAAAAAACAGATGACCCAACAAGTCTGGTCCATCAATGTCTGGATGAGCTAATTACTTTCTGGAATGACAGGGGGTAGTTGAGGCAGGGAAAAAGTACATCAGATTACAATATTAATGCCAAATACTATACTTTTTTACTTTGATAAAACAAGATGATGGCAGCCTGTCACATAGCACTGATATAATATAATTTTATAATAATTATTTGATGGACACACTGGTAATGAAAACTATAGTTATATTTAATTTTGCTATTAGCTCACATTTAATAATACTTTAAGAAGAAAGTATGCCTCTTAAATGGGAATAGTTACACATTAAGTGGCCTATCTAACACACCATAAGAAAATGATACCAAAAATTTCGCAGGGCATTGAAAAAATGCTACACATAAGCATTTTACATTTTTATTTGTAAATAGGTACAGATATGTTCTCAGATAGCCAGGTCCTATAATAATGACTCCGGCATAGAAGTCATAAGTAATTTAGGTTCTTAGCTAGAAAATAAAATAAGGAAATGCAATTTTGGCATCAGGAATTTATTTGTCGTCTTCGGCGAGTGTTTCTTAGACATTAGGAATAATGTGTTGCCTCTAAGTGCATGAAGTTAGCCCATCAAGCAACTATCCCTTTGTATCCATCAGCAGCACTTTGGTTTCATTTGGGGAATGATTTCTTCTCTATCTCAGTGGCTCATGTGGGGTTGATTCTACTCTAAGGATGATTGTAGTCTGCCAGGGAGAGTCACTGTGATTAATTGGATCAAAGACTGGTCTACGGCCATACCACCCTGAACGTGCCCGATCTTGTCTGGATCAAAGACTGGTATGTGATGTGCCCTAATCAAAACCCAGAAAAGCTGTTTTCATTGGAATGTCTGTGCTGGTGGAATAAGACTGGAGCTTCCCACACCCTGAGGAGAATGTTTCTGAAAATGAAACCCACAAAAGAAAGAAGGGGCAGAAAACAGAGTCTGGGGACAAAGTTTGAGCAACTGGATTAAGCTGTTCCTGAAATCCAGAATATCCTTGTACTTTCAGTCTTATGACACCCCTACCACACACCCCTACCAACACACACACACACATGCACACACACACACTCTCTCTCTCTTTTTTTTTTTTTTGGATAAGCCAATTTCTTTTGGATTTCTATCACTTGAAAACAGTCCCAAATAATAAATAACATACATATTATGAAAATGAAAATTATGGATGTCCAAGTCAATACTTATTAAATCTAAATCACCAAAACCTTCCAACTACACAACTCTTTTGCTTTAAGGAGCCTTATCATACCTGTAAGCCTACGAAAACTGCAAACTCAGAATCCATGGGGTCCTGATAGGAGTGCTTCCTTGGGTCATATTGTCCATGACTCAAATGATCCCTAGTACAATCATAGCATATTAAGGTATTCATAGAACTTTGAGACATAGTCTTGGTGAGCTATCCCTTCCCTCCAAAGGCAATCTGAATAGCAGGAATTAGTATCAGACTTCTGAAGCCCATCTAGGAGATCAGAATAAAATTTACAGGAGAGTTTTTCTAAGTGTGTTACCCAGAACACTAATTCCAATGGGTGTCCATTTGAAAGGAGAAAAAAATATATATAACATATGGTCAAACAGGTGTTTTACTATAGAACTGCTCAGAGTATTAATGCCAGCAGGCATTGTGAGCTTTCAAAAGGGGCCATGATAGGCTATATTAGGTCACAGGGCTCTTTTTTAAATGAACTTGGGATTCTGTATAATGCATTTGGGGAGTGCCATACCATAATATATACTCTTTGTGATTTCCAGGCATAAATACCCGAGTGATTTGGAAGAATTTACTAATCATATAATAATGGCAGGGGGAAATCAGAGTCCCACAGTACAAGGATATAGGGTTTGGAATGACCCAGATTCGAATTTGGCTCCATTATTAGCTCTCCATGACCAAGAACAGCCATACTACCTTTCTGAGTCATAATGGCAAACTATGCAAAATAAAAAACACACTACCCATGTCATTGAGCTGTTTGAAAGCCTACTGTGGGGAGAAATTATTCTAATATGTATAACTCAGACCCTAAGTTAGACAAATGCATGTTTGAGCCCAACTCCCACCGCTTACTAGCTATGTGACCATGGCAAATTACTTAACCCACCTAACTCCAATTTCACCTTTGGAGTAGTATATTAATTACCTCATAGGAGGTATTCAATGAAGATAAAATGAAATAATACCTATACACTAGTTATTGCAGTCTCTGCTGTTTGAACCGCAATACCAATAGTTCTTAAGTTGCACAATATCAAATTACCTTTTGTAGGTTAAGAACCATTAAATAGCCATAATGCATATGGTTCATCATTCGAGTATGTGAAATGCCTATTCCAGTTTCTGGCAACCACGCCTTTGTTTATCTGGTCAGCCAATCAATATTTATTTAGTGCTTTTTTTGCACAGGCAGCATACCAGACCAAGGATAGGAAGGTGACTGAGACCTCGTTCTTGCCCTTGGTAACTATAGATTAGATGAGAAAGGCAGGCAATGATAGCTAACCTGTTACTTTTTCTTTTGCTGAAAGTTAATAGCTAACTTTTTAACCTTTTTTTCTTTTTTTCTAGCTTTTAGCTTTTTTACTCTTTTTTGAACCCATATAATAATGATCGTAAAACAAGGTGATGAAGAACAATGAGAGAAACACATACAATCTGGGACAGAAGTACCATGGAGAGGATTCAGCGGTGCTTAGTAATGGCGGCTATTAGTATCCATGTACAAGGCTAGCTCGTAGTTGGGCTCAATGCGTGCATTATGAGTTAATTTATTAGTAACCTTCCAAAAATTACTTTAAATTGTTTATTGCCAAAAGACCTAACATACAGCCAACCATAATCCAAACACATAAACATGTTCAAGTTAAAGTACTCCACTGAACATGGAAATGCAATTTTGCCATATTTCTTTCCTTATATATAACAATATAACAATCATGGCTCCCAAAAGAATGGCTGATTTAAAAATGCAATGGATTTGGATTATGACAAGAGAACAGCTATTCTCTTGGTTCCTCCATATTATATTGCCATCATGGAGATAAGACACTGTACAACAAAAATTTATTCCTCGTAATTAATCCTACATTCCAAGGCCTCTTTTGTATTTCTGCATTCTGAATGTGGGCACTGGTAAACTGGTTCACTATACCATTTCCTTCCACTTTGATATATCATATTGACACATCCTGGGAAAATCACACTTCCCTTCTATCTAAAAGCTCCCACCAGCTTACCACAGGTATTTCAGGTTAGAAAAATGAGTGGGTTTGGGACCAGCAATTATAGAAGGAAAAAGAATATAATCAGATCCTGGTGTGCAGATTGTTTTTTTAGCTTGCAAATTCCCTCTTTCCGGTGTTTCAACTTTCAAAGGCTTATGGTAGTTTAAAGGCAATCCTCTTATAAGTGTACAAATTGTAATGATTATAGGAACAAGTTGTAATTGTTTCTAGCAAGTTTTTAAGAGTCTTTGATGTTATGATTAGTGTTTTATATGTTAATATATTGATAGGGGTGCTTATTTGCTTGTTCCCTTGTATGCTTTTATGGTTTCTAGGTTCAATGTACAAATAAATCTTTGATCTCAGTAGGTCTGTTTGGTTAAAAAAGAAAGCTAAAAGAAATTAAACATGAGAAGCCCAAGGTTTTGCAATATTTACGAAGAGGCACGACTAGGGATTTCACCGTAAGAGTACAGAGCTGGGGCCCATAACTTGAATATGGAGAAAAGTGCCCCAAACCACACCTCACATGAAGAGGGGCCTGTGTCTGGAAGTGCTATCACGGACCTTCGGCTCTTTTGTAGCCAGGGTGTGTAGCTAGATGATGGGTCTAGGCTGATGTCACACTGAGCAAATCAAAGGTAAAGCTCTGCAAGCCATCGGCTTCCTCTTTCCCCGTTTGCCTCCTGCCTTTCAGAAATCACCATGGGGAAGAATTCTCTGTCTTTGCAATGGTTTCACTTTCAGCTATCCTCATCATGAGTGATTTCAAGAAAGAGGCTGGAATGCAGCGCCGCCTGGAGCATGTACCTGGACACGAACTGCTAAACTGCAAAAGGAATTTACTTTCTGTAATGTCTAAGAGGGAGGAACCTGGGATTTCATCAAACTGGCTATCAATAAAGCCAAAAGCAAGGAAGGTCCCAGTCACACCACTCAAATACAGGGTTCGGGAAGTGTGCGCAGTGCTAAGTCATTAATGGTATAACACTTTCTGTCTTATATTGTACAGGAAAAGCCCAGGATGCTTTGCTGGAAACACAGGTTAGAGAGATTCTTGAGAAAAAGGAAGAGAGAGGATCGCATTTCCCTTTGCGTTCCCATTACAGCGCACTTGGTGGGGTCCTGCCTTGCTCGGGTTCCACAACTTGCCAAGAGAGAGGGAAATGATCCTGCATTTACCTTTGCTGTACACAATGCAGTTGTTTTGGTTGTCTTCCACTCCTTGCCAAGTCACATCCAGTAGCCACTTGGGACCAGCCGTCAGCACCATCGGGACCTGAGCCTTTGTCTTCTGTGGAAAGAATGATAACAAACAGATGCCATTTGCTTTCGTTGATTAAAAACTTGAATAATAACTGTACTAATCATTTTATTTTTACAAACAACTAAATCTCCCAAACCATAATCCAAGTCCTTATACCCCTGTCTCATAATTTATATCTTTTTAAGATGACAGAAGCTGTAAGGATTTACTGCTTTCACTAATCTGAATGGTAGAATTATTATCAAGGATTTTTTTTTTTCCTAAATGATACTGGATCAGATCTCCAAGATTAGACAGATCTCTTGCGGCTCTGAATTATAAAGAGAATGCAGATGACTTTCATTGCAAAGAGCAGAGTGTTTAGAAGTGAACTTTAGACACATTGTACTTTACTATCAACAGGATCTCACTATTTCCTGAAACAGACAGGAAAGAATTTAAAGAATCAGGATCCATTTCAAAGCTCTATCCTGAGCAACATTTATATTAGAGCAGGAATTTATTTCGAATGAATAATGAAATCTACCCAACCCCCTCTGCTAAGTGTGGATATGTAGTCTCAGGGTAACTGAAATAATAATAATGCTAATGATTCACCATACATTGTCTCCAGAAAGACTATAAAAGAGGACTCGTGAATAAATTCAGATGCAGAGCAACTAAAGCATGACGTCCCTCGCTCTGAGAAGCACAGAAAGCGGGGAGACATTTGCCCTAGTTCTAACAAAGTATTTCCAGTTGTACGTTTTAAATATAAGGCTCAAAATGTTCATCATTTTAGGCTGTTTGGCATCCAAATTATTTGTCTTTAATTACGTTAAACATGGCAGGAAATAAACTGGGGAGGAAACAAGTGAGCTTTAGCAAGACTGTTGTTTCCCGATGAGTCACAGTGAACTGGCATTCAGACTTTTATCATCCACCAGACCATGTCTGTATATCAAATATCACAAAACCACAACACAGACTACAATGCAAGGGTCTCAAGGTAATTTTTGAACTGAATCTTCACCTAGATATGATCCTGCCAAAGAGATCTCAGCTCATTCTGGGACTTTGCTGCAAATTTCCCAAATTGGCATTAATAAGTATTCACTTGAGGAGTTCCATGTAATCTGGTCATTTCAAATCCCTCAGGAATCTGGAAAACCCATTTCACCCGCTGAATGACAACAATGATAACGTCTGAGACACGGATCTATCGTTAGCTGCAAACCCATATTGACAACTAGGCATAAGATGAATGTTAACCCATTTCTTGAAGTATCAATTATATTATAAGAGGTAAACTACCATGAAATATACTGTTTAATGAAAAAATCAACCATAATGGATAAATTAAAAAAAAAAAAGAAATCTGAAAAAATATTTCAAATATTAAAAGAGATGGTAAACCAGATCAGATCAATGGTGAGAAATATTAGCATAGTAATTTTTTTTATATTCATACTTTGATTCATTTTAAATTCTTAATTTTTCAACTACATATCTTAATATTTGGCAAACATCTATCTGGTGCTTTACACGTTCAGAGAAACTTCTCTAGTAACAAACTATAGAAATTGTCCCTGAAAGAACAATCTTGCAGGGTGGTTATGTGAAAATCCTAGAGGAAAGAAGTAATTTTATATTATATCGTTTTTTTAATAATACAGGCAAAAATGTTATCAAGTTATCTTTATGGTTATTAGTCTGAGTGACCATTTTTATTTCTGTTTGAAAACAGAATTGCAGACAAGCAAGCTTCTTCAATCTGAAATGATAATGACCCATATCCATTTAAGTATTAGGTCTTAATTATGCATATGTCTGCTTCTCTTACTACCAGAGAAACTGGTAAATCCACAGATCAGGGTCAGCAGGTCTCCAAGCAGTAGGCAGAAGAAGTCACAGGAGAGAGTGCACCATTTCGATAAAACCGGATGTAGGAGATTTTGTGGTCTTATTGCTAACACCTTCTCTCTTCTGGTTTTAAAGAACAGAATTCAACAAAAGGCACCTCCCCCATTTCTACTGTACTGTTATTTCATGGGAAAGACATGCCTTTTATTTAATCTTTATACTCCATAGTTCTTAAAGCCACATAGATTTCTACACAGTAAATCAGCTCTTACAATTTTCCACAGATAATATGAAAAATAGATACTGATCACTTAAATTCTTTAGGGAATCTTTTAGTGTAGAGCAAATCAATTGATTTTGCTGATACTATAATCTTCCATCATTTATGAACATACAAACCACCTCCACCGTGGTCCTGTGTTTGGTGCTAGGAATGTGAGGACATCTTTTTTGGTGAAAGATATGGATACTAAGAAAAAGTTTAATATAATGCAAAAAGTAGCATGGTAAGGAGTGCAAAGTCATGTGTAAATTGTTTTGGGATTAATGCAGGGCAAGAGAGAAACTTCTGTTGTGTGGATTCTGGGAAGATAAAGAGAAGGTAACATTCAGACAAGATCTTAAAGGATAAACAGGGAGAATTTGCAATTGGTGGTATAGAATGGGCAAAATCTGAGCAGTTTATAAGAGGGTCATAAGTACAGGAAATAGTGAGTCTTTCTGGGACTCTCTGGTTTTAACTACTTACAAAGTCGTTAGAGCTGTTCTTGGTACGTAGAAAGCACTAGATATGCATTAGTTATCATCATTATAATCACTATTGTTATTATTGATAAGTGGAAGAAACATAACAGCAATTTGTCTGGAAGGGCAGGTGAGCAGCATATTTTGAAGGACCTTTTCATACCAGGCAAAACCCTTTATGCTTGAATTTCTTGGCAAAGGAAATCAGTTAAGACTGTTTAACCAGGAAGAATAAGGGTGCTACCACATATGCAACTTGTGCAGGGATTTTCTTAGACACTTCCCTGACTTATTTAGTCCTGATGTCCATTCTCAGATTAAAAAAAAAAAGACAACCACCAAAAAACCCTGCAACTCAAAGATTAATAATTTCTTTTAGGTCAAATAGCTGGTAGAAGGAGGACGCTATTTTTATGTCTAGCTTTGTTTCCAGACACTACCACTCCTGGGGTGACCAACCATCTGGGCTTTCCTGGGATTGAAGGGTCTCCCAGGATGCTGGATTTTCAGCACTTCAACCGGAAATTCCTGGGCAAACTGGGATGACTCGTTTACCTCCACACCTACTACTACTATGGTTAGAACAATATTGGTGGTTTATATCTATTGAGCACTAAATGTTGGGTATTGTACTTCTCCTCAATTACCTTTTTTGATTTTTTAACTCTAGGACTTAGGTATTAACATTTTCTCCATTTAGTACATAAGCAAATTAGGATTTGAAGGAATTAATTTTATGGTACAAATAAAAATAGTTAATTAGTATATTTCCTTAGAAGTAAGTTAGGTATCATGTGTTTTAAAACCTTGGAAATCTTTATTACACCTCGGCATAGGTAGAATCTGACTTATTAAGAAACTGAATCGAAGGAAAAACAATTTCTTTTCCTCTAAACCAATAAAGCAAAAGCAAAAATGTAGCAAAGACTTGCTGAAAGCTATACCCAAGCTGTAACGTAAATAATAAGTAGATAAAAAATCTCAAGGGACCAGTTATTACAGTTTTGAGGAGGTAAGTCAATTTCTTTCTGAAGAAGACAACTTTTGTAGAGATTGACTGACTTCAAAGAAGATTACCAAGTGTGAGAAGGAAGGAGTTATCCAGGATTATATGAAATCTACACTCCAGCAAAATCCATGAATAGAAAATAACAATAATATCCACATTGATCATTAGGTTTACTTTCCCATGTCTCTATCACAAGGACTCACACAAGTCTAGAATTTTAAGAGCTGTAAGCAACTTTGAAGTTCAGTGAGTTTCATTCCCTAATTTCACAAATAAAGAAAGTAAGGCCAAGATGTTTATTAGCTTCCTACAGAGGATATAGTTGGCACAATATGTCGAGAAGAGAGTGGATATAAAAGTTGTGATAGACAGAGAAACAGTGTCCATGCCCCAATTCCCTGGAAACTGGGAATATATTACCTTACTTGGGAAAAGGGATTTTAAAGATGTGATTAAAGTTTAGGACCGTGAAATGGTGAGAGTATCCTGGATTATCTGGATAGGCCCCATCTAACACATAGAAGAGAGAGGCAAAACAGTAGATCAAAGGGATTCCATATGAAAAGGATTCCACTGCCTTTGGTGTCTTTGAAGATGGCATACTGAGACTATAAACTAAGGAACACTACAGTGTCTGGAAACTGGGATGACTCTCAGTTACAGGAAGCAAGGAAACAGGGACCTCCGTTCTGCAACCTCAAGGAACTGAATTCTGCCACCAGCTCAAATGGTGGGAAAGGTATTCTCCCCTAGAACCTCCAGAAAGGAAAGCATCCTGCTGACATCTTGTTTTAGTCTAATGAGATCCCATACTGGATCCGATCTACAGAACTGATAATAAATTTGTGTTGTTTTAAGCCACTAAATTTGTGGTAATCTGTTTCAGCAGCAATAGAAAACTAATACAAAAGGCATGTGGGTTTACTGACTTACAGTTAAAAAAAAAAAGACTTTAAGTTCTTATCAAAAGTACTCAAAAGTGTGAAACAGCTTCTTCTTCGTTGGAATAACAAAAAATCTACATTGTCATTCCACAGTCATTAGATATGCTTAATGTTCTTGTCTTCAAGTACAAGAACATACATAGTGGTGATTGTAATAATTTCCGCTTCTACAATTAAGTATTTAAAACGTTTCATGATTTACCATCGACCTTACAGTTGGGATGGAACCAAAAGGACATTACTGTTCTTGGAGTCAGATGGCCTCTGTTTGAATCCTACTACGTGCTATGGGCAGGCTCTGTGACCGGAAAACCACTTAAACTCGAATGTCCTGAATTTCAGAACACACATCTGCCAAATCATTTCTATCTCATGGAAAGTCTTATAAAGCAACCAGCATGGTGTTTAGTGCACTGCAGATGCATGCCAAAATCTGCTGAATAGCTACATGAATAAATGAATTAAAAATGTCCAAAAACATTTACTGA